AACCTCAAATAAAATGAAAAAGGTAGACAATAGTTAATATTAGAATGAAATATAAAAACTGGAGGTTTTGGACGCTTTAAATGATGAGAAAATATGATTTTTCGTTAGAAGGTCTATAATTATGTTACAGGCATTTTCCAGTTTTCTCCATTTTTTCCTTCAAAGAACAAAAGATAAAAGAGAGATGCTAGGGAATCAGATAGTACGTAATTAGTCTTACATAGCCGTGCCACTAGCAGATCAATATCATTCCTTATTGTAATAAAATAAACATTTTTCTATGTACATGTTATGGGGGTCTATAATTATGATATACGCATATGCATACGTATGCATACGTTTACAAGAATCTAATGTATTTCAGGTTGAGACTTGTTATTTTCTGCGCTTTCTCGTATGAAAGCCATTCCGAGTCTTCCCATATTTACATCACTGTACTCCATTTCTTGTCCTGCCACAGGTTAAACCCACTGTATCTGTTCGGTATTTTGCCAGTAAATCTGTTAAACTATTTGCAAGTAAAAGAAACCCAATATTAGAACTGCTGAAAAGATCCTCTCAAAAGTTTGGTCTAAAAAACGGTTTTCACAGCTGTTTTATACAAGAACTGAATTAAAGGCTTGGTTTCTGAATTTTTAAAGCATCACTTATTTATTTGTGTTAGTTCTGGAGTTATTCGAAATATAACCGAGAACATTTGATTGTTTTTTCGATAATAAATAGTAAGATATCCTTTAAGTTTTTTACCGCTGATTCTACTGTGACTTAAACGTATATTAAAAACGAATACCCAACGTCAACTTTACTCACAGCATTTACATTATCCATCTCTTCCACATAGAGCAAGTATCAATTATTATGTACCATTCGACAAAGAATTTCAATGGCTATAAAATGAGCTATAATGCATTATTTTAAAAGTTTGTCTTCGTAAATGTGTTGGACAAATACTAAAAACTTTAGTGAAACCTTTACTTGTCATAGACCAGTTTGGAAACGCATTAGGCTATTCAAAGCATTCCTTAGATTCGCTGTAGCTGTCTTGAAGGAGAAAAACTGAGAATAAACATGGCTCAATAATTTTGAGAGCCATCGTAAATAAAAGTTGGCACAATTATATATATCTGAACTTTTTTCTTTCGGCTTTATTAATAAATATATATTAGCTATATATATTAACTAAACGTTTCGATATGTTAACAAAAAAACAAATCGGAAAAAGGTTCAAAAACCTCTCAACTAAATTATTAACTTCGTTAACAATAATAGCAGTAATTATGTATTCAGTATATAAATGCTTGACAGCGTACCTTTTAGAAAAACTGATGTGTTTGAATTTGAAACACGTTAAATTTTGCATTTTTCTATGCCAGAAGTATTTCGAGTCCCATTTTGTGTACAACACTGTGTTTTATTCATCATTCTCCAATAGTTAGTTAGTTTAATTTATTTAACGAGGATTATAATATACAAAAAAATTTTCCTCTCTACATATAACAAGTTTGTCGCGATTTAAAGTGCATAAACGATGGAAAACACGATAGTAGTTGACTAGACGAAAGTAGAGACGGCGAATGGTCAATTTAGGAAGGCTTAAATCATTGGCAAGTTGAACACTATCAGTGGTATAATCGAAGTGTCGAGTTATCAATCTCGCTGCAAGTTTTTGAACAGACTCAAAGGGTTGGGTGTGAGTAATAAATTTAGTATCGAAAACCGCGCTGCCATAGTCCAGTTTAGCCAAAACGCAAGTTTTGTCAAGGCGAAACGCAGAAAAGCCGGAGCTCCAGTAAATGTACTGTTTATGGCACCTAACATGCGACGACAAGCTGAAGCAGTTATTTTAAAGTGAGGTTTCCAGCTTAGATCGTGTGAAAAATACAAACCCAAAACTTTGGGCGTCTTTTCATATTTGAGAGATTCTCCGTTGATGCTAAAACTGAGAGTGGTAGAAGGGTTAGCAGACAAAGAGAAATATGTCCAATGACACTTATCAGAACTTAAGGACATAAAATTGCAATCACACCAGTTAGTAATACGATCAATTTCGTTTTGAACAAATTGCTTGACCGTATTTAAACTATCCTGTTTAGCGAAACATCCTACCGACGAAGAAAGTCTTTCAAACTTTAAACTTCGCGAAAACAACTTTCTCTTCTATTCTTCGCTCCTTTTCAGATCCTACGAAGTTCTGGTCGTTTTAAAATAGATACAGAACATCTAAACGAAATACTCCTCATTTCATTTCTGACAGTGATGGGATATCATCTTCTTCTCTTGAGACCTGTCAAAAATTTAATAAATTTTTTGCCTAATTAGAACGGACCACTGCCACTTATTCTGGTATTCCGAGTACCACTTATTCTGGTCAAACTCTCAATTCCATTATAATAACTGAAGAATTAGTCTCAGAGGCCATTAGTAAGTTACGTGATACTTCTAGCGTAGGCACTGGCGACATTCCTACTCTTTCCTTCAAACTGTGTACGTCCTCCATTTCTAAACAGTTAGCGTATTTTTTTCAACTCTCACTTGATAAAAAAGCCTTTCCCGATAAATGGAAAACGTCCTTAGTTACTCCCATTCACAAGAAAGGGCCTGTTGGTTCTGTTGATAACTATAGGCCACTTTCTCTTTTGAATATCGTGAGTAAAGTTTTTGAGAAACTCATTTACAGAGAACTTCTTGATCATCTCTTGACTAACCTACTCCTGTCTGCTAACCAGTTCGATTTTAGACAGAATGCTTCGACCACCGATGCTTTGCTATTTGTCACGAACAAATTATTTGACAATGCTTCTAATAATAAAATCAGTATTGGTGTGAGTATCGACCTACCTAAGGCTTTCGATCGCATACCGCACCTCGTCTTACTACAAAAACTAAAATTCGTCGGTGTAGACAATAAACTTCTCAACTGGTTTATATTTTATCTAAAGGGTCGCTCACAATATATAAAGATAGGCACTACCCTTTCTAACGTAGCATATATCCTTTCTGGTGTACCTCAGGGGTCTATTTTGGGACCCCTGCTCTTCCTCGTTTTTATCAATGATCTGTCTCCGCCTACTTCGTCATTAGTACTGTATAGTTTGTTTGCTGATGACCTGTATTTGATCTGTACCTTCGCTAAACAGGATAGTTTAA